CCAATTAGCAAATCCGAGCATCGTTACTAGGTTTGTATCCCCAGCAACGGTGTTAGAAGTGCCTTGTCGGTATTACTTAGCAACATCACTAGTGATCAGCAATGTCACTAAATAATAGCCTTGATAGTTCTTTAACAATTTTAGATATCTATCCACGAGCGCACGGAACTATTATTGTAGCATTTCACCCGGAAGTATTCAGGGTATCGTTATTTATATTTTTTTAAAGTAAGGCATTTGATTAAGAGTCTAGTATGGATATGAACTTGAATAATAATGCTTGCAAGTACACCACTTATTTATAGCAGGGGTAAAAATGGTATTATCAAGATAGTGAATACACACTTGGCATTTCTTAGAGGATAAAATAAAGAGAAAGAATAAAAGAATAACCTAAGTCAAGCAGGCATTAGTCTAGTATAGTAATACCAATTTTAGTTAATAATCATACAAGTTACATAATTAGTTTTAGGGCTAAGTGTGAAGCAGGTCGGGAGGCTACCGAGTATTGGTCTGCTAGCAACCTCATGTGACAATTTAGACTCTTACATCCCAGTCGAACATGGAGGATTACAAGGGATGGACAGGGCTGTCACCACCTGCCGCCTACCCCTCAACCGTGGAAAGGGACAATCCATTCACCTGTCTCTTCATACCCAAGCACCACGCTTGCGTATACAGAAACTACCAAAAACCCCTCGGATCCCCGACCCTACGGATCGACAGGTAAAGAACTTGGGCACACCTAATAGCACGATGAACCGCCACCTCAACTTAGCTCTAGTTCTGATTATATAATTTATATGAATTGTTAAGCATAAAGTTAAGTGTGCTACTCTCATGACATACAAACTATAGGCTAGTTCATATATCAAGATCATAACACAATAACTATACTCTAGTTCATAAGTATGACTATAAATATAAGCTGAGAGCATGATTTTGGAACAACTCATATTCCTATTCATACCCAAAGGTCTCTTCTTTCAAGGAGCTAAATTCTCCAAGATAGCTTTGCCTTGCTCTAAAGCTACTACTAAAAAGGAAAAGCTACAAGAGTGAGTGAGGTGTGTGAGGTGATGCTCAATGTGGTGTGTGTGTGTGTTGTAGAGGGGGGTACCCCTCTATTTATACAAAGCTCAAGACGGTGCTGGAGGTTATTCCTGACGCGAGGACCGGCTCCCACTGCCTCAGTATGGAGCCATGCCACCGCCTATCGAAGGGGTGGCTGAGGCGCGCCGGTAGGGGGTCGACCGCCCCTTGACCATGCCATCTCGCCACCACCTTTGCGCGGTGGTCCGTGGGCTGGACATGGGTCACTCCTCCATAGTGTTTTGTTCCGATTGAGTTGAGTTGATAGGCGTCTTTGTTATTTCTTTGCATAAATCAGCGTCGGAAAACGCCTTTCAGTAAAATCTTCCATGTATTTGTGTTTGTGATCTGCAAAATAATGTTCTCCAAATACATGTGGAACTTGGTTAATAGTAAATACATATGTGTTTTAAGATTACCAATTTCTCCTCTTTTTGCATCTTAGTTGGCGGTTGAATTTGATCGTTAAAGACCGCCAATAAGTAGTACTTTTTTTATAGGGCTAACATTTCTATATGCCTCCATGGGTGCTGTCGTGACTATACTCGGTAGAAAAACAAAACGGAACAAAGTAAGCGTGTGACCGTCGGCAGGAGATAACTGGGTAGGCACGCCGTATGTGTCAGCCAGCGGGAGACGGCGGCAGGAGATAACTGGGCAGGCACGCCGTGCGCGCAGCCAGTAGGAGACGGCGGCAGGAAATGGTGACAAGCTACGGGGACGCACTGACTGCTAACATAGGTACTCACGCCACCTTGCAATGTCTGTCGTTGGTCCCAAACATGGTGGTGTATTCTACGTGGACGGACCTGATGACACCGGGAAGACTTATCTGTACAAGACCCTGCTCGCTACTATACGCAGCGAGAATAAGATTACTGTGGCAACAACTATATCTGGTGTTGCAGCCTCGATAATGCCTGGTGGTAGAACCACCCACTCGTGCTTCAAGATTCCCCTCAACATCGACAATGGGCCCTTTCGCAGCTTCTCAATACAGAGTGGTATTACCAAGCTGCTTCGAATTGCATCCCTCATTATTGACGTTCCTTTCCAATTTAAGCGAAAGCAATTTTCCATTCGGCTAAGCTTCTCATTATTGATGTTCCATTTTCAATTTAAGCGAAAACAATTTTCCATTCGGCTAAGCTTCGCAATGACGATTAACAAGGCCACTAGTAGAGAAACAACTTTCGGTTCGCACTTTTAGTCTCGGTTGTCTTGGGATCCGGGACTAATGTGAGCATTAGTCCCGGGTCTAAATTTTACAGGCATCAAACAGCATGTTCGTTTGTTGTTTTCAGCCAGGGCTTATTAGCCAGCCAACAGTGTTTTCCTCTCACAACAGACCAGCACCAGCCGGGCTTATCAGCCCAGAAACCAACCAACGAACAGGCTCAAAGGCTCTTTTATCCCGGTTAGTAACACCAACAGGGACTAAAAGCCACCCTTTAATTCTAGTTGTTGTCACAAACCCGGATTAAAGGTCTCCCACCCAGGACTAAAAGTCCCCCACGTGTGAATTTCAAAAGGAGAGTGTATAGGACTTTGTCAGATGTGGTGTGCAGTTGAGTTGGTAAGGAAGCTACGTGCGAGACAAGGGGTCTTGGATTCGAATCTAACGCACTACAAGAGCGGTCTCCCAAGATTTAAACTATTATTTAGTTCCAAGGATGGGCTTTATTATCGGTTGCGTGACCCGGGACCGCAATCCTGGTTAGGAAACCGAGACTAAAATTAGTTCCCAATCGAGATTAAAGCAGGACAAACTATCCCTAACGTCGGAGTGTACTTGCGGTAACTAGTGTTCTCGCATGTCTAGTTACAAGTAGCGCTATCAAGAGGCATGACAGGATCAAATATTAGGATCTTGGTCCTACCAGCTATTGAGACGGATGTTAAAAAGAGGAAGGGGAAGAAGAAGCTAGCAAAGAGTATATTCACGAACAATATCATTTATAAAGAGGTTTTAACTCTAAAAAAAAGGTAATTTCTCTCCGCAATACATATTTTACTCCATATGGTCAACAATACTCTAGCTTTATATATATTAACTATAAAAATATATGCAGGATGCTACCAACACAACTACGAGAACTGGAAGGACTACTTAATTGCTGGTGCTCGTCGAGTTACCTTTAGGACGTTGTTAAGATGTGGAACTTAGGTGTGTTGGAGGATACAATTATATTAGAACATAATTGCATAGTTCTAGCCATGCAGAAAATTAAATTTGTAATACTAATGTTTTGAACATCACGTTCAAAAAAGATTTTTTAAACACTGTTCATACTAGCATTATCGTGATATTATATTTTACCCGTGCAACGCACGGGCATTTATCTAGTTAAAAAAACGCATTGTCACCCGACAATACCAAGTCTCGAGATCCTTGCTCACGCTGATACGAATCATTGTATCTACTCAGAGCTTATGCGTCCATGTTCTATCCGGTTCCAATACGAAGAACGGGTGCATCCGATACGAATTCTATTATTTTCTACAGATCCATAGCCGTAGGTGTCAACAAAAAAAATCGGTGCTCCCCGTACAACACACGGGCATTTATCTAGTAAGAACATAAATTTGTATGTTTGTCAGCAATGGCGTGCATTATTTTATTGCCTTATCAACATTCATCGTATGGTATAAAGTTCACAACAGTTTATTTATTGCAATATGCATGCATATATACACGTACACGTATACGGACGTATGCGATGCTGAAAGCGAATGTAGTATATATAGTATGACAACAATCTACCTAGTAGGGCTCCGGCCGATGACGTTGCCCCCTTCGAATTATCAAATAAATCGGTTTATTTCTAAAAAGTCCTACAACAACGCAAGAGGTATCTTCTAGTTACCAAAAGAGAATGAGTCTATAATTCATTACACATGAGTCCGTAATTCAAAGGAACTAAAAGGGATAGCTCTCTAAGAAAGAACGCCTTGCAAATCTCCACGCTTGGGAAGCATCATTTGAAGATCAAGTCATTTCTAGTGATGCAGATGTCCAGATGGTCGAGCACTGCACATTAGAATTAATGCATTCATGAAGAAAGGAGAATGATGCCGATCTTTGAGGAGCTAGCTCCTCGCCCTCTAAGACACTGTAATCCGAATGGAATTGAAAGTTGACTAGACCAACAATTCCTGGCAGAGGGCTAGGTAGCCTGAGGCCGCACATGAACAAGACATGCAATCGAGAAAGGACCAAACAACAAGGCCGTCCAGAAGGTCAACAATGCGGTCTATACACTCGCTCTTCGCATGAAACACCCACGAATGCGTCCCGGGATGCAGGAGTGTCATAATATTGGCAAAGCCACCTAGAACTCCGACAAATCTCGTCGAGAGAGTATGAAGCTCTCTCACTACACCACAGCCCCAGAATGGCGATGCACCATTGGTCGCTATAGGTGGATACAACGACACACTATCGGTCGGTATAGATCTATGCCGACACTTAACTGCTGCCGCTGAAAGTGGCGTCAGGATAGGGTTATAGCGACCGACATACTTTTAGCGACCGATAGTCTGACGAAATGCTAAAGCAATACCGACCAATAGGCTGATGGCATATAGTAGTTTTATCGTCCAACAGTTCAAGGCTAAAGGGATTTATACCAACCAACAATCCAACGCATAGATCACATGACGCAAAAATACATTATTAATCTCACATTAACCAAATTACAGTATTCTTTTAGACATGAAACATACAAGGTCACATTCAACATGAGACACAAAATCGAGTCACAATGACATAGCTTAGATTTCATTCATGCCAATTGGTACATGTAATAGTCATGCTGGGTTGCACACCTCACAGTAACATGATATACCAAATTACAGTATTCTTCACAACACACAAGTCTGGCTGGCAAGGAGTTCTTTACAAAATGTTACATCATCCACCGTTCATACCCAGATGCACTTCTCCTTCTATTCATTTTCTCTTCAGCTTCTTCTAAGGTCAGCTGTTTGTACTGTGCAATTTTACTGAAGTTGTACCTGATAGGACATGAGAGACTGTAAGAATGCTCTAACAAAAATAAGAGAGCACCCATCTCAAAAGAAATGATATTAGGAGCTTTCTACCACAGAATTAGTATTGTCAAGACTTGATGAAACCTATACACTCTAATAATGCTTGAATCTTACAAGTATGTATGTTCAGATGATGGATATATGATCCAGTTCGTTTAAAGAGTAATAATAACAGAGGAAGCAGAGAGAACAGTACCAGGAACCAACTTGAACAGCAATCATGTCCTTGCCTTTCAGTGTCAGTGAATAGTATGTGGCAGGTGGATCCTCAGTTTGGCCCTGATACTGATGTTCGCCAGTCTCATCCTCCAAAATCCATGGCCTCTTGCTGTAGTGCTTGTCCTGTTTTTATCAAATGTGTGCACATGGTTTAACAGGGGAAACATCAGCTTATTGTCCTTAAGTTGCTATTGCACAAAGATCTTATAGCAATATATTTGTCAACTGCATACTGCTAATTTGCAACTGATACGAGATGTCTAATGCAGCATAACTACTTTGTAATAACTACAGTGCTATTTAGATTGATTGTAATTAGTTAGAATTTACACAGGTTCACCATTGTTACACTGTTTTATTATATAGAGTTTTTATGTATGATTAAGGATACCAATTGAGTGACAGCATTGTCAGGCTGTCCAAAGCAAATGAATGACAAATAGCAGTTTGATGAATGTAAAATTCAGAAAAAAACAGCAGTTTGATGAATGTAAAATTCAGAAAAAAACACCGTTACTGAAGCATCACAAATAGCAGTTTGATGAATGTAAAATTCAGAAAAAAACACAGCCCAACAAATACATTGAGATGGCAATGAATAAGAACAAGCAGTACCAAATTCTTTTGATAGTGTGTTTTGCGCGCCCTATCATGACTGCAACAATAGAAATTTCTATGCATTTCAATAAACATGGCAAACAGTTACACTGCCTTGACAATAAGCAGGATTAGAAACTACAGGGACAGTGGTGTTCAGAGTTGATGAGAATGCAGCAGGATCTTTGAGTCAAATTTTGGTGTCACATTCAACATGTTTCTTTAAATGACCACTACAAGGGCTTCATTTTTTGTTAGTACATGGGCAAGTTTCAGATCTTTGAGTCAATGATTTATGCTTATCTTTCTGAAATAGTCTAAGGAGATCACAGTAAAACAACAGTATTGAATTTTGCTGCTGCATACTTGTCAGTTCTTCACTTCCAAAAAAATGATAGTTATGAAATGCAAACAGTATAGGAACTCAATGTCAGTAATGAAATGCAGACCGTATAGGAGTAAACCTCGATGAAAATGGAACTCAACTCTTGGTTCTCCTTGGTAACAAACTGCAAGATAGGAGAGGAAAAAAATCAGTAATCCAAACTTAGAACTCGATATCACAGAAAAGTGTCATTCAGAATTGATGAGCCAAATATATCATAATGAGCTGACACTTATTTTGTATTGAGTGCCTAAGCAGAGGTTTGGCTATGGGGTTCAGTATCTTGTAAGAATCAGTAGCTCCACGTTAGCGTTTATCCATATGTAGAGATATGAATCTAGAGACTGTAGATGTTATAACAAAGTGGATTTGTGCCGCAACATTTCTTGTGGCAAGGTAACGTACAGATAAGCTATAATGTGTCAACATTCAATTTAATCCCAATGCAAATAACTCAGTATCTTCAATTCTTAACTAATGGAGTAAGGCAATCGACATGCAAGTATGCAGTGAAAATAATAACTAAATTATTGTGCAATTGGAAATAAGCTTGGTCTCACGGAATTAACCAGTGAAAATAACAGAGCAGCATACAATTCAACAACCAACCTTATTTTGTATGGAGAAGTTGATGAGGTTGGTGTCCACATTCACCCAATATGGCACCCTGCAGTGTTGTAGCTGAAGAACAAAGCCGAAAAAATCTGCAGCCTGCAAATCACAGAAGCAAAACAACATCAGCAATCCAAACAAGCACATGAAACCAAACCGAGCCCTCAAAATCTGAGCACAAACAAGCAGTCACATATTCCAGCCGAGCTTCTCCTTGTCCGCGTCTCTTTTTTTTTGGTTCCGCGCATCCTCCTACCAATATTATACACAAAAATTAGAATTCCCAGTAGCAAGAACCAAACCATCGAGGAGCAGACTGGAAGCTGGAGATGGTTGTCTTCCCTGTTATGGTTTTCTTGGAGATAATATTATTCACCACATGAACTTGCTGCCCTCGCTCTTCGCCTTCCCCATCTCGAGCCAAACCCTAGCACCCGCAGCTACCTCATCGGAGATGGGGAATACACATCCAGGGGAGTAGATGCGGTGGGAGAGTGCCGGTGCGGGGGAGGGGGAGGAGGACGGGAACCGGTATTAGGAGGACTTACCCACGGAGCGCCGACTGCTGCACAAACCATTGGGCGGCGCCGCCGGCCGCAAAGCAGCGCACTATAGCCACGATGTGTCGCTAGCTGCGGGGAGCGGGATCCGGGAGGGGCAGAGGGCGGGACACCAAGATCACGGGAGAGAGTTGGGCGGCTGCGGCGGAGCTTGGAGGCGGCGGCGGAGTATGGCGGCGGTGGAGGTTCTGGTGGCTGCGGGAGTAGGCGAGGCGCGACGGGAGTTTTTCCCCTTCGCGAATGGAGGCGGCGGGATCTGGGAAACTAGAGAGGAGCGGCGATGAAGAGTTTGGGTTTGGAGACGGCAGTATTTGGGCCTAACAATTTGCCGCGAACGGGCCTAGTTTGGTTTTCAGCTTCCCGCGGATCAGTCTGTTTTTATTTTCAGCACGCCAGAGCCACCTATACCGACCAATGGTCCGTCCTCTTTACTAATCTATTCCGACCGATGGTTTGACTACAGATAAATATCTATATCGACCGATAGTTTATCACAAAAAGTATATTTACCGACACTTGCTCCGTGGGCTAGCTATACCGACCAACAGTTCAACGTTATTAGTATACCTATAACGACACACATGTGACGCTATATTAGTGTTGTGGTGTAGTGTCTTATTCTGACTGGAATTTTGATAGTTGAAGCTTTCAGTGACTCATTACTTGTAGTGCAACAACATTGGAAAGTGTTGAAATGTTTTTATGGGTCACTGAATGCCCATTAGATAAAAGCCTAAAGGTCATATCTTGTTTTGATGATTTTTCTATACATAATATAACTAGGCATAAGAATGTTAGAGCCAATAGTTTAGCACAACAAGCATTTGGTTATGTTATTTGTGAAGGGCATTTTGCAGTTGTTGAAAAGCATATGCTTGAAAGTGTTGATGTATATATTCTGGACAAACCGGATAGTTAAGTTTCATCAGGGCAGCGCTATTGCTAAGTCACTGTTCACACCGGATGGTCCAGTCGATGATACCAGATGGTCTGGTTTTAACAAAAGAAATGGTGTTTCGTCCATGAATTCTAAAAATGTTAGTGAGGTCAATATTGATGATTGGAAGCAACCTATTGCTAATTACTTACAAAATCCTAGTAACAGGGTTGAATGGAAGATTCGGTGTTCAGCATTCAAGTTTGCTTCAATTGACGATATTTTGTATCGATGAACCAATGAAGGTGTATTGCTCAAATGTTTGGACAAATATCATGCTCAAGTGGCAATGGGTGAGGTGCATGAAGGTATTTGTAAAACGCATCAATCAACTCTAAAGATGAAGTGACTTTTGAGAAGGCCTGGATTCTATTGGCCTTATGATCATTGATTCAAATAACACCTGCCACAGATGCTACATCGTATTATTAAACCTTTGTCGTTTAGAGACTGTGATTAGGATTTCATTGGGAAAATACATTCTCCATCGTCTAAGGGACATTGCTTCGTATTGATTGCTACTGATTACTTTATGAAATGGATGGAAGTGATTCCTCCCAAGAATATGACTCAAGGGAGCTAACTGAATTCATTACTAAGCATATCATAACTTTAATACTACTCAGACTTTGACTACAGATCAGGGGACATCATTCATATCTAAAGAGGTACGTGGGTTTGTTGAATCTTATAAGATTAAGTTGCTCAATTCATCTCTATATTATGCTTAGGCCAATGGTTAGGCCGAATCAAGCAATAAGATTTTAATCAAATTTATAAGAAAAAATGGACTATAGTATTAAGCATTTGCATAAGGTTTGCATAAGGTATGGTCTGAGGCTTTATGGGCTCATCATATGACTGTACATGGTGCTACGGAAGGTACTCTTTTTCAGCTTATATATGGACAAGAGGCTATTTTACCTGTTGAGGTAAACCCGGATGCTTTAAAGGAGATGTTAAAATATAAGGTATATGTGGCTAGAGTGTACAACAAGAAGGTCAACTTTAAGTATTTTCAAGTAGATCTGTTTTGAAAGACTAAATTACTAATTGAGTCAAAAGAGAATAAGTTTGCATTGGTAAGTGGTCTCCAAGCTAGGATGGTCTGATCTGCACGAGCCTGCCGAAGCTCGATCGATCTGCTATCCGCATTTTGTAGTGTTCTAGTGTGTGGCCATGTTTTACGCTTAACAACACAACTAAATTGATTCTTCTTGTTAATACAGCTAGAGAAGTACTATAAATGGATGTTATGCCAGTGTCGCTGCTTCCACTATGTTAAATGGCCATAGGCTCACGGTACGCTTACTTCTTATTAAAGTAGCCTATTAACCTTATTAAATACTTTCTTAATATAATTTTTCATCTGGGTCATGCTTGGACCTAGCCCGTCCAACCTAGCCTTGACCCCAAAAGTAAAGTTACGTATTCCATTCGCTGTTCTATGCTGCCGCACCGTTTATTCATCGAGCAAGGAGACAGCGACGCCGCGCCAACCATTCCGGTGTAGCGGCAACCGGCGGACCGAGCGAACGTCGGCACACTGGTACTTCCACCCCTCTCCTCCACCGATCCCGTTTGCTGGCGAGCCTAATCTCAATTGAATCATGAAAGATCGACGCACGTGGTTCCTGAGCGATAAGCCAATTACTGTCATCTTTCTCAGATGGACACTGATCATGTCGCAGTTGTTTATTCTATCTTTAACCCATTCACCATTTGTTTAGTAGCAACATCACTGAATATTGTGTTGCTTCTCTCTGTGAGTCTTCCTATGCCGATAACACGAGATCAGAAGCACGAAAGACACACCAGCGGGCATGGATGTTAGCAACAGCAGTAGGGGGGATTCGAGGGAAAGAGCTAGAGAGGCTTGGGGAAGGGGAAAGAGACGAGCAGAGGGGCGAGGACGAGTTTCATTCAGAGTTCAGAGTTTGGATTACAATTCTTCATACCCTCTTCCTCTCTCATCAACGCTGGTATATGCGACCACTCAATGAGGACCTGCTCGATTGGCCAGGTACCAGCGGTCCAACAGCGTTGGAGGATGTGACCAGGAACCTGAAATTCCACCAAGTCAGTAGGCAAAGCAGAACTCACCAACTAGAAACCAGGGCATAGCTTGAAGACAGGATGAACTATGGCTAAAGCACGGAGCTGTAGACGATAGGCCACTTTGCCGATGCGCTCCAGAACACGATATGGCCCAAAAAATTTGAAGGACAGCTTGTGATGCACATGGGGAGCCACGGAGAATTGCACATAAGGCTATAATTTGAGGTAGACCATATCCCCAATGGCAAATTAACGCTCAACACGGCGCAATGGCACGAAGTGAGCAAACTTCGAGTACTTGTCAATAACCACCGGTATAGCATTAGCTGTGCCAGACAATGGTAATCCCTCAACAAAATCCAAAGAAATTACCCCCCAAGACTGCCGTGGCCCCAGGATCGGCTGCAAGAGGCCAGGATAGCCAGCACGATAGGGCTTGGCCTGGGCACAGGTAGCACAAGACTGCATGTGCTGAAGGACATCCGTGGGCATACAGGCCAGAAGAACAGTGGGCGGAGCTTCTGGAAGGTTGCCGGAGCGCTAGAAAGACCACTGACGGGCCTGTCATGAAGCGCAGATAATACTTTCTGCTGAAGTTCAGTGTTGCTGCCCAACCAAATGCGATTCTTATAGAAAATGATACCATTCTTCAGCTGATCAGCATTAGCATTAGCAGACGCGAGGAGTCATCGACCAGCAGCTGCGCCAACAAGGCCTTAACTTATGAATAAGGTACCACTGCTGATCAAGCCATGCGTGGACTGGAGCAGACACCGCATTCAGTTGCAAAGGATGGTCCCGGTGAGACAGAGCATTAGCAGCTTGATTCTCATAGCCTCTGCGGTAGAGAACTTTGTAACACAAGCCGAGTAGCTTTGTGAAAACTTTCTGTTGCCAAGGAGTGTGAAGGCGCTGCTCATTGAGGTGTATCAGACTGTGTTGATCGATGTGAATCACAAATTCAGAATGAAGAATATAATGACACCACTGCTCAACTGCCAAGAGAATGGCAAGATACTCATTCTCATATACTGCCAGCCCTTGTGTACGAGGCCCCAATGATTTACTGATGAATGCTAGAGGGTGGCCATTCTGAAGCAAGACAGCGCTGACACCGGAACCAGAAGCTCCAGGTGGAACGGCTAGGAGAAGTCAGGAATCCCCATGACTGGAGCAGAACAAAGGGCTGCCTTTAGAGCATTGAACGCGTTCATGTATGGAAGTCCAGATAAAAAATCAATCCTTTGGCAGCAAATCAGTCAATGGCTTGGCAAACAACCCAAAGTGGCGAATAAACTTACGATAATAGCTGGCCAGACCTAAGAATCCCCAAAGAGCTCTGAGGGTCTAAGGCACTGGCTAGCTAGAAAATGGCTTGGATCTTGGCCGGGTCCGTAGAAAGGCCACGCTCACTTACAACGTGGCTGAGATAGGCAATCTCCCGAGTGGCAAACTTGCATTTGGACAACTTGATCTTCTAGTGATCAGCCGAAAGCTATTGAAAAACAAGAGTCAAGTGGAGCAGGTGTTCCTCAAAACTTCGGTTGTATATCAAGATATCGTCAGAGAATACCAACACAAACTTGGGATGGCCCAGGGCTAGCATGGTATTCATAGCACCCTGGAACGTGCCCAGCGCACCTGTGACCCCGAATGCCATAACTCTGAATTCATGTTTCCCACAGCGCATCTATTTTGGTTTCTTCGCCCGTCTGGAGGAGGATCCGATGGAAGCCTGCCCGGAGGTCGAGAGTGGAGAACCAACTGGCATGAGCAAGTTCATCAATGACCTGATCAAACATCGGTACTGGAAACTGGGACTTGGTTGTAATAGCATTCTTGGCAAAAATCGAAACAAAAGCGATGTGCTATCTTTCTTTTTCATGAGCAACCCTGGAGAAGAAAAAGGGCTGGTGATGGAAAACGGTGGTTTCCAGCAGGTCAGACTAGAAGGAGATAGCCGAAGCCTTCGCCCGGATAGGTGCCTCGGGCGAAGGCGTGTCAGGTGAAAAGTGTGTCTAGA